GGCTTGTGTGTGTGTGTATCCCGGGCGTGTGTGTGTGTGTATACCGGGCGTGTGTGTGTGTGTATCCCGGGCATGTGTGTGTGTGTATCCCGGGCATGTGTGTGTGTGTGTATCCCGGGCATGTGTGTGTGTGAGTGTATACCGTGCATGTGTGTGTGTGTATGTATGTATATCCTGTGTGTGTGTGAGTGTATACCGGGCATGTGTGTGTACCCTGCGTGTGTCTACACCGTCCATGTGCGGATACCGTCTACTCTACATGTTTAGGTTTTCAGTTGTCTTTATGACATCAGCACATGGAACCGGAAGCAGTCACAGTGTGATCAGTTACAGGAGCGCATAGAACTGCTGATACAATGTTGCAGTCACAGCGGGTACATCAGAACACGGCAAATTCTGCTTCCGTATAAATATAGAAATTCACCTTTTATCTTTTACAAATGGTCGTCCAATGTTCTCTTCAGTTACGGCCCTGATGGGGGGGGGGTTTGACCCCCCGACATGCATTGGATTCGTCCCTTGTCATGTGCAATAAAGGACTACAAGACTCACCTCCCTCTGTCTGTCACTGAGAACACCAGTAAGAATCCTTCCCCAGTCCTCATGTATTGCTCCCGCATGGCTCCGAACTCCTCCTGTCCCGCCGTGTCCAGAACTGCAGAAGACAGAACATAAGAATGGTATCACTTTTACACGGCTTCCAATCCATGTGGCATACCTCCTACAGGACATGTGTATGGTGACAGGACACCTCCTACAGGACATGTGTATGGTGATAGGAGACCTCCTACAGGACATGTGTATGGTGATAGGAGACCTCCTACAGGACATGTGTATGGTGATAGGAGACATCCTCCAGGACATGTGTATGGTGATAGGAGACATCCTCCAGGACATGTGTATGGTGATAGGAGACCTCCTACAGGACATGTGTATGGTGATAGGAGACATCCTCCAGGACATGTGTATGGTGAGAGGAGACCTTCTACAGGACATGTGATAGGAGACATCCTCCAGGACATGTGTATGGTGATAGGAAACCTCCTCCAGGACATGTGTATGGTGACAGGAGACCTCCTACAGGACATGTGTATGGTGAGAGGAGACCTCCTACAGGACATGTGTATGGTGACAGGAGACATCCTCCAGGACATGTGTATGGTGACAGGAGACCTCCTACAGGACATGTGTATGGTGACAGGAGACCTCCTACAGGACATGTGTATGGTGATAGTACTCCCTGTCCATTGTACGCTCTATGATCCCATGCACCACCTTCAGCTATACTTCCCCCCCCCAGCTGATCCCACTCGGCCAATCACGAGCTGGCCTCAGCAGCCAGGGATTGCCTTCTTTTGACACAACAGCCCACAGTGTCCGCGTGTACCTTTTGCTTTAAGACCTCTCCATGCTCAGTGTTTACAGAGTTCAATACCACAAGCTCTGGTTTAAAACAGACAAATCAATAAGTTCAGAACGCTGACCGTCTATCCTGGCCACTTCCGAAGTCTCTATGAGGGAGGCGGCTTTGGCTCTCTGTTTAGCTAGCCCGCAGTGCTCGGTGAATCCCGTGGTGAACGCGTGCCCTTTGTTACATGGATGTCGGTTCTCTGTCAGGAATACCGCATCTCATCTATTTCCCATTGTATGGTCTACGATCCCCATCACTCCCCAGTACTCACTCCCCAGTACTCACTATCCAGGCGTGCTGCGCGCTCATCGATGACGCATTGCTTGGTGTAGGAATCCTCAATGGTCGGGTCATAGTCCGTCACAAAGTAAGACTGAAAGAGAAAAGAATGAACAGGAAATGATTACAAATCACCGACCGCTGACCGTACAATGTGAAGAGGCCGACCCGCCAATGATCCACATGACACTGCGGGGAAGCGCCTGGCAATCCATCATTATGCCCATAGAGATCCCTTACTTCTATTTCATTAGTATTTGGGGGGAGGGGGGGGGTTTATGAGTTGATTCACCCAAAACTGGGATTTAGGTTCTATAATGGGGTACGATGGACCGAGTCACCTCCTCATTATAAATCTCAGGGACTCCAGCCGAGAGATTTCCCCGCTGCGACTACTGGCTCTGCTCTCGCCCACCTCGGGTGCCCCAATTCCTGCCATTGGATTCTCCTTATGTAACAAATAAAATATCCAGCTGGGATGGGGGGAGCCCCTTGCACTGGGTGCGGCTGGGATGGGGGGGAGCCCCTTGCACTGGGTGAGGCTGGGATGGTGTCAGCCCCTCCTGCTAGGCATGGTTGGGATGGTGGGCAGGGTGACAGGTATAGTGGGAGCCCCTTGCACTGGGAGTGGCTGGGATGGTGTCAGCCCCTCCCGCTAGGCATGGTTGGGATGGGGGGAGCCCCTTGCACTGGGAGCGGCTGGGATGGTGGTTGGGGCATAGCAGGAATGGTGTCAGCCCCTCATAATAGGCAAAGTTGGGGTTGGTGGCCAGGGTGTGACATGGATAGTGGGAGCCCCTTGCAGTGGGAGTGGCTGGGATGGTGTCAGCCCCTCCCGCTAGGCATGGTTGGGATGGGGGGAGCCCCTTGCACTGGGAGCGGCTGGGATGGTGGTTGGGGCATAGCAGGAATGGTGTCAGCCCCTCATAATAGGCAAAGTTGGGGTTGGTGGCCAGGGTGTGACATGGATAGTGGGAGCCCCTTGCAGTGGGAGTGGCTGGGATGGTGTCAGCCCCTCCCGCTAGGCATGGTTGGGATGGGGGGAGCCCCTTGCACTGGGAGCGGCTGGGATGGTGGTTGGGGCATAGCAGGAATGGTGTCAGCCCCTCATAATAGGCAAAGTTGGGGTTGGTGGCCAGGGTGTGACATGGATAGTGGGAGCCCCTTGCAGTGGGAGTGGCTGGGATGGTGTCAGCCCCTCCCACTAGGCATGGTTGGGATGGTGGGCAGGGTGACAGGGATAGTGAGCCCCTTGCACCGGGAGCGGCTGGGATGGTGGTTGGGGCACTGCAGGGATGGTGTCAGCCCCTCATAATAGGCAAGGTTGGTGGCCAGGGTGTGACATGGATAGTGACTCGCACTGGGCGCAGCAGGGATAGCGGTGGAGGCACGGCAGGAAGAGTGAGAGCGGCTTGCATTAGGCGTGGCTGGGGTGGTGTTCAAGGTGCAGCAGGGTTGGTGGGAGCCTCTCGTAATGGACAATGTATGGGG